ACATAATGAGTAGAACGATTCTTTCTCGTTCCAATATTTTGTTGACGCGATTGTTTCCCCGCTTATAATGAGTACCAGAAGCACCCGCGTGCGATTTGTTCCTTTTTTTTCTGTTTGTTTGAGTAGAACACACGGTGAATGAGACAACTTCGATCTACTCGTGTAAAAATCTTGTTGGGCGGTTCTTTTGTTGGTGGGTTGGATCGTCGGTTTCTCTCTCCGTGTCATGGGTGATGCTTTTGGTAATGTATAGATTTCACTTATATTGTTTATTCAACTTCAACCAACAATAAATGATGATGAAGTTCTTATGCTTGAACTTCAAGAACACAGTACACGCACAGAAAGGCTAAAAAGAAAACTTCGACACTGCCCCTTGGATGATAAACCATCGATGATTGAGAGACTTTACGCCACGGTTGCGGATGAGCGCGTCGGATTAGGGCTCGAAGCATTTGTGTTCATGGAACCAAGAGTGAATGTTGGCCTAGAATGTTGTGCCCTTTTGCTCTATGTCACGGATCAGATCAATGGCAGTGGCCAACCATGCATCACACAACAACTCGTCCTTCCGTATGTTGAAGCTTTCTACTCTACCCCTCTTCTTCAGATCGATAACAAATTCATTCGGATCATCGTCGCCACTGCTCTCCTCCTGCTCCCGTTGTCCACACCTGGCTGGCCGGACTGGGTGTAGCCCTGTTGCATGCCCTGCTGGGTGTATTTGTCAGACTGGGTGTACGTGTCGGCTTGGGTGGGACCCTAGTCATCCACCTGCCTGTCCTTGTAGCAATCTCATCCTCCGCCTTTGTCACGAATGATCTCAAACATCTCCCTACCTGTGTCGTCGTACACCCGCTCGCGTGCTTTAGGCATACCAGCGAACAGTGTGTGGGCAACCATCTACTCCACGCCTGGCATCCGCGTCCGGACAAGCTGTGGCAATGAACAGTCCAAGAAAAGTAGCGGTGTCGCGTTGACGTTAATGATGTAAGGCACTTGCCCAGCGGCAGATGTAGGGGACTGCCTACC